CTCTTGTCCCCGCCCGCCCCTCTAAGGCGTCTTCCTCACACAGCACCCCAGGAGGGGCTCGGCCCCTGCCGCCTTCTCCTGCGGGGCCCCACAGCCGGGACCTCTCCCGGAGTCGAGGCGACTGGGCCCCGCCGCCCATTTCTCCTCTCGCCCCCTCCCTTCTCCAGGCTACCGTTGGTGAGTGAGGTAGTTTTTTGCCCAGAAATAAAGATTTTCCCTGGAAGTAGTTATCATCATTTACCACTTTCCAACGCAGCTGGTCTGTTTCCGCCCTGCCCGTGACAGTGTTTCAGGCCTTATACGTATGCGCATTTATTGGATTTTCATTTATGAGATGGGTACTCTTACCTCCTCAATTTACAGGTTAGATAACTGAGGGTCGAAGACACATCTCCTAAGTGGTTGAGCTGCTTTTGAATCCAGCCAGTCTGACTCCAGTGTTCTTGTATTTAGTCACTGTCATATTGAGTATAAATAACACCCAGGAAAAAGCGAAAGTTTATACTTGTCTCTTTACCTTTTCCTGACAGAGGCAGTACCTTTAGTTGAATCAGAAAATGTGTCTTTTTGGAATCAGACATAGCCATTCTCAACATAGCCATTTACCAACTTAGCAAATTACCAAATATTTGATTTTAAATGTTTCCTAACGTGTAAAATCGTGATAAAAATAATGTAAATGTATGGTAGTGATGCCTACCATACAGAGCTGTTGTGAGTAATAATCTCTATAATGCATATGAGGTACCTAAAATAGTGTCCAAGGACTCCGTAAATAACTATAATAATTACTCAGAGTATGTTTGAATTCTGTTTGTACACACTTGTCCTAACCTGAGGCTGCGTATAACTGGGAAATAGAGCATCAGGTGTGTATGTCTATAGGTGTGTTTACCTTTTTTAAATTGGAGAAACAGTCCAGCTCATGTGATCAGTTGATAAAGAGCTTGGTACCAGATTTCTTGAATTGTGGCTATTTAGGGGTAAGAGTCAATCATTCAAGAGGACTGTTGTTAAGGATCCTATGCCCCCAAGCTTTCAAAGCAGTTTTGACAGATTTGGTTAGTAGAACGTCAAGATTTTAAATTATCTTGTCAGTGATTGTTCTTCAGATAGATCAAGATGATAGATGTGCTGAACAAAAAAAGACAGACAATGCCTCCCAAATTGGAGATTTTCAAGGACACTATCAAAAACACTACCCATGAGGTAACAAGTCTCATTATTGGGTCACCTTTCCTGCTTGTACATTCTTTTAGAGACATTCTGTTTCTGACATGATTAAGAAGAGACTATTGGCATCTAGACGCTACCCTTTTTTTCTCACACTTAGTGGTAATGCATTCTGTAGCCTCTGTTTAAGTAACTGAAAATAAGCCATTATTTTATTACTGATCTTTTTTTTTTTAATTTGGTAGTGTAGCAAACTAAGTAGTAGTTGAACTATATGTTAGATTGCTTATTTAAATTGGCTGAGCAGTGACCTTTGTTTACTCTTAGAATTTCTGTGGAAATAGTGTGGCTAAATGTCATGACACACTGGAATTTTGGAATCTGTATCTGTGGGGTTCCTGTACTTAATGCTTCTTCTTGATCTTGATTCTGCTATGATTCTTTGAAAACCCACTTCAATCCTGTAGGTGATTCTGTGCTAGGGAGAAGAGTTTTTATTTATTTGCATATCTTTAAAAATTACATGTATTTGGTGGTATAGCTACCCTTGCTGTCAGATTTGAACATACTGGTTTAAATAACTAAATGTACAGGAAGCATTTAATGAGATGAAAACTTCCATACAAGATGTTTTCCTAGGGCACTATGAACCCTCCAGTCTTATCCCATGCTTAACCCTTTCCATGTTCTATTCATGCTATTCAAGGATGAATACATCCAAAGATCACCTTAAGTCATATTATTCTTCATATAGCTTTCTTCAACCTATAATAATTTTATCCTTCTGTGCCTTTATATAGTGTTTAATAATTTAAATATATACTTTATGCTATTCATTAATTCATCTAGTATTTATGTGTGCTTACCATACATCAAGCAGCAGTTCTAGTTGGAAGAAGTGTAAGTATATTGAGTCATGGAGTATTGGTTTTGGAATCGAGAAGCAGAAGTGCAAGTGCCTCCTTTGTGACTTTGGGGAAGTTGTTTTTCTGAACCTATGTTTACATACAAGATCATGTCATCTGCAAATGGCAATAGTTTTATGTCTTCTTTTCCTACTTGGATGTCTTTTATTTCTTCTTCCTCTTTTGTAATTGACCTGTCTAGAACCTCCAGTGTAATGTTCAGTAGAAATGATGAAAGCAGACATTCTCGTATTGTTCCTGTCTTAAGAAGAAAGCATTCAATCTTTCACCTTTAAGTATGATGTTAGCATTGGGTTTTTTAAAGATGTCCTTTATCAGGTTGAAGCATTAGTATTTAAAAAAAAATCTTTTAGATAAATAATAAAATATAGTCAAGAGAACCAATTATTTAAGTTAATATTTAAGTTAATGTTGTATTACTCCTATTGAAATTTCACTAAAGAGATGAGATTTATAAATTTATATATATTTTCCTCTATAGAAAAGTACAGATTTTAAAGAGTAGTGGAAAAGTTTAGAAATCCAGCTTTACTTCTATTAGATGGATATTTTTCTTTTACATGACTAAATTATAAAGAGCATCTAGAAAATATATACTTTATTTTTATTTATTTAAAGAATTAAA